GGTCCAATTCTTAGGCTCTTGCATGGTTTCTTGGAGTTCCAAGAAACAAAACACTGTTGCTCTATCCACTGCCGAAGCAGAATATGTGGTTGCTGCTGCATGTTGCTCTCAATTGCTATGGATAAAACAACAGTTGCGTGACTATGGCATTATTTTAGAGTGCGTTCCTATTCATTGTGATAACACAAGTGCCATTTGCATCTCTAAAGATCCAGTACAACACTCTAAAGTTAAGCATATACATGTAAGGCATCACTTTTTGAAAGATAATGTTGAAAAGGGCTTAATTAAGCTAGATTTTATTTCTACTGAATGTCAAATTGCTGATATATTAACTAAGCCTTTAAGCAGAGACAAGTTTGAAAAGATGCGTGTGGAATTGGGGATGCTACGGCTCAAGTGATTTTTGTTTGGAACCCCTAAGGTAAAATCGGATGTAACTAACAATGCTATGCTCAATCTTGTGTGCATAACACAGCTGAAATTACCCAGGGGAAAGATTTGTGAAGTATTGAAAAGTCACTTATACATACTTTTAATATGTTAAAAATATTGAGCCATGTTGTTTCAAGTTCCCTTTTCATCATTCTTTATTCTCTGTATTATGATCACGTAAATTATTATCATAATTTACGATCAATTTGCACTTATCTATCTTTTTAAATTTTTTTTATCTGTTTTCCTTCTTGTTATTATCTTTTTTTTCTTCCTTATTTTTTTTTATTCTTATCTTTTTCCTTCCTTAATTTTTTTTTTCTATGTTCAATTCTTTTTCTATTCCTCATATAATTCAAAAATACAAAAATATTTTTTTTCGTAAGATAAGGAGCTAGAATATTCACTACTCCTTACTTTCCGTATATTTCTTAGCTTTTACACGTTTATATTTTATTGTGATAAGTTTGAAAGTTGCAATTAATTCACCCTATTAAAATCCTACTACCCCTAAAACTACTCTACTACCTCACCATATAAACCGTCACTTTTTCTCACCCTTCCCAATTAAGCTCTTTAACACTCCACCCTCATCAATCACATCAAATTAACTTCTCCATACACCCTCATAAAAACCGGCCTCACTCTCTCTCCTTCCTATTCGCACTATTCATCTTCTCCTTCCCTTCAACTCACCTTCATAACCATGAAAACTAACCTAAACTCAACACCGAAACCACCAAAAACCCGGAAACCTTCCTCTGCTGGCGGCTCCCCTGAACCAGTCCCACTTGCCGTCGTTCACCCTCAAGCTCCAACAAAGAGAAAGGCTACAACTGTGAAAGGAGGTGACAGAAAGAGGCAAAGCTCTCAAAAGTCTCCATCTTGGAACTACACTCACGGCTATCACATCAATTATGACTGGTGTACAGCAAGTAAGTAATCCGAATTCATCTCCTTAATTGATTATCAAGAATGGGTGCATTTGTTCCAAAATTGCTCTCACTACCCAATTTACCCCAAGCTTTTGTTTGAATTCAAAAATACTTTCAAACACAACAATGGTGTATGCACGACTACAGTCAAAGATACTCGCATTCATTTTGATGTTGCATATTTAGGGAACTTGTTTCAAGTCCCCACCTCTGGCTATAGTTCGTACCTAAAACACAAACAAATTGTGCAAATTGGGCATTATGATGAGAATAGAATAATCAAATTTATAGGTGGAAACCCGAAAAGCAAGACTTCACATCATAACATACTCACTCCTCTTCACAAATTATTGTTCAATTTCACATGGAGAGGCATTGTTCCTCGTTTGCAAAAACGAAGCATAGTATCCTTACTAGATGCAACCATCATCTTTTGTCTTGCTCGGAAAATAAAAATAAAATTTCCAAAACTGATGATTGAACATTTGGTTTTCTATGCTACTAAAACTACTATTCCATATGGATCTCTCCTTACTGTGTTGTTTAAGTCTTTTGGGATTGATGTTGAAAGTGAGTCACCCACTTATATTAAACCTGAGAACATTCTCTCGGAGCAATCTTTGCTTCGCCTGAGCCTTAAACTTGAGAGTGGGATAATTACTTTCTTGACTAGAGGAGGAGAGGAGAAAAATAGTGGAAAAGGGAAAACACAAGTTGTAGAGGGAGATACAAGTGAGTCAGAAGAGGAGGAAAGTGAATCTGAAAAAGAAGAAAGTAAAGAAAAACGAGAGGAAGACAAAGAGGAGGAAAAAATTTCTGAGGGGGAACCACAGGAGGCAGAATCTGAGAAAGAAGAGGAGACTCAGAGTGAGGGGGAATATAGCTCAGAAAGTGAGAGTCTTGATCTCCCTTATAAAGGGGAACTCAGGAGGAGTAAGAGGAAAATTGTCAAACCTGCTACTTCTACTCTAAAGCCTGTGATTATTGAAGACATTAGTTCTTCAGATCACTCTGACCCTGATTTTACCCCTACACAAGTTCCTTTTGCTTCCGAGCCATCTTCTGTTCATGACTCTCCCCCAAAACAAGCTAAACCCTCTTCCACTCCTGTTTCACCTCCAAAACAGACTTCTCCCTCTCCCACCCCAGTTTTTCCTACATCACAGCCTATAGGCTTTGCTGCCTTCTCTGGAACAAATGCTTTTGTTTTTGATATTCAACAGGTGAAAGCAGAAATGGAGCAGCTAATAAAGATGGTGTGCACAAAGCTGGAGGACATGGCAAAGCAACTGGCTTCTCTTCAACGCCAAGTGCAGGCTGTGGCAGATGCTCAGGCAACCAGTTTTACAGGGATGGAGAACAAGGTTGATGCTGCTGAGAAGAACATACTGCACAACACTCAGGAGATATTGGAGACGATTAACAGGGTGGCTTTTGAAGAAGTGGAGGAAGCTTCTAATGACCCTATAACCCCAGCTGATGAACCTACCTATTCCCCATAATTGCAATTTCGAACTTGTTACTTTTAATTTCTTTTGCTTTTGCTTGTTTCATTTGGATTTCAGTTTGTAATTCTTAACTTTTGCTACTCTTTCCTGCTTTTGATTTTCGTCTATGGGAACTTGGCTCGTATTTTTCATATGATTGTGTGTGTTTGCTGATAATTTAGTACCTAACTTATTTTTGCCTTGCATTATTTGAGCTCACTATTCCCTACGTAGTCTAGTGGGAGTATAGCAAAATGTTTTTTTTCAATCTTTTGATAATGACAAAAGGGGGAAAAGACAAACTTCATGGCGGCTAAGGTGTTTACCAAGGAACTCACACATCGAAGGTACAAACTTTTGCTAAGTTTAGTTAACTCAATAAAGTACTAGTAATCTAAGTTTTAAGTCTTTGTTAATTTTTCTTTTGCTCAGTCTTTTTAAAATAAATACTTTTTAGTATTTCTCTAAGTCCTTTAATTATTTTTTTTTGTTTTCATGTCTCGCTTTAAATTTTTGTTGCATGCCTGGATGATTTTATTTACCTAAGTTTGTCAATGTTTGTCATCATCAAAAAGGGGGAATTTGTTGAGCCTTTTGGTTTTGATGGACAAATTGACAAACTCGACTAATGAATGTTTTGAGTCTTTGGTGAATAAAGGGTTCAAGCAAAGTTCGTTCCGGAGTAGGAACTTGGATGCGGAGTAGCATTCTCTAAAAAGCCTCATGCAAATCTCACGTTCTAGTTTTAATTGTGAGCACTCAATAATATGAATTCGGAAAGGAACTCAATGACTTATGTTATTAAAAAGACTACTGGAATAAAAGTTAGTTTTAAAAGATAATTTCTTAAGGAAAAGATAATTTATAAAAGTTTTATCTAGTTATCTAATTTCGAATAAAGATAATTATCGAAAATAATTATCTAGTTGTTTTAATATAAATAATTAATTTATCTTTTCAAATAAAATCCTTTTTAAAATAAAATATTTTTAAAACAAACTTTTGATAAAGTTAGCAAGCAGTTTTCTTTGTGAAAATCTCTGATTATACGGTTTTATCAAAGCTAATGTTTATCAAGTTGTTGAGATAGTGGATTAGTGAGATAAGGCTAGGAAACCTCCTTCATGATCACCATCTGTCAAGATAACTCCACAAGTTGTTAGTGGGGTGTTGGCATGTGGACGTGATTATAGTGGAGGTTAATGACTAAGCCTTCTCTATAAATACTCATGCAAACTATCTCAGAAAAACATAACTCTTGAGCATAAAAATTCCAGTAGCCATCTAATAACATAAAGAGAGTTATTATCCTTCTTATATTCTTGAGTGCAATAGGTATTTGTAATCACAGATTGTATTCAAGTACTTTGGGGTTTGGGATTGTGAGTTTGTGTAAGGTGAGGTCAAGGAAGCTTCGCTGCTGAAGGCTTATGTGAGAGTTGGGAACAAGTTCCTAATTTGTGGAACTTGTTAACGGGTTTGAATCTTCACTTGTAAAGAGTTTGATTACATAGTGGAAATTTAGAAAAGTCTATATCTTCTCTCGTCATTATTTCAATTCCGCAAAAGTTTTTAGATTTCACCTCAAATTCAATTCACCCCCCCTCTTGTATTAGCCAGTTAGACTTTCAAACTACCAATTTATCCTCCATGTATCACTAATGATTTCTTAAACAAGTTTCTTTATAAGAAACTTGTTTAAGAGATCTGTTTCTTCCAGACAAAAAATAAAAGGAAATCTGTTACTTAGATTATTAATAATACAAGAACCCACTGCTTTAGAAAAAATTTGTAGGAATATGTGCACAAATCCCAAACCCCCCCCCCCCCCCAAATAAATGTTGTATGTGCAATTGTGCATAAAGCTTCTTAAATATCTTATTCTTTATATTTTCAAAAAAATGAAATAAGTTTGATTCATTTGTGTAATAAGTTTATAACATGTTGTAATGATCGATTTCCTAAGTGTTACTGCATAGGAATTGCTAAGTGGTACGAGTGTACAACAAAGCAACCAATCAATAGATATTTTAAATTTAATTTGGTGTCCTTAAAAATCCGTCTCCTCGGTCATATTGGATAAACCGTTTGACCTTGTTGCTTTAGTATATATGCCAAGTCAACAATGTAAACAACTTGCAGGAAATTCTTAAATAAATCAAATGATAATTGTACAATTCAATATTTTTACACATTACAAACACAGATGACAGATTATGCCATTCCACTCTAGATTTTTTTTTTTTAGATAAATAATAAACAAAATACAATAACAAACTTAGGTCCCTAGTCTTGCCTTCATACTCAGATACAAAACTTTTTTTAATTTAAAAGCAGTCCATTGTTGCAATATTAGTAGAACGGAGGAAGTATATCATTAGAATATGATCTCAAACTCCACAGAAAAAAATTCTAGTATTTCAAACAGCATATTGCACCGGTCGTGGCTTGGGGTTCGAGTTTGTAGAGGCAGTATCAAACTGAGGAGTACCCATAGCAACGCCGCCCCCTTGATATGGAACCGCTGCTGGTACTTGTTCACGACGTTGCTTTGTCGATGAACTATAGGAGCATAGGCCAAAAATACATGCCACAAGTGCCAAACCACCACCGGAGGCAAACACACCCGGTTTTACATAGTAGCATAATCCGGTTGAACTGAGATACTCTTGACGAGTGCTCAGATTACCAGCTGCTACTAGGATACCAATTCCTATGATAGAAGCAATACTGTACGTAACAAATCAACAAGTGAAATAAATTAGAGAAGTTTATATTATAAGGCTATTAAAAAAAAAAATGTGACATGGTATTGTTCACTTGAAATATCTAAAATACATGTAATTGTTTATATTTTATAAATGACTAGTATATGTTTTTCAAAAATTTAAAGAACACGCATCACGTGCGTATAGATGAGCTCATTTACTGAATTTTTATATTTGTACTTGGTACATATGTTATAGTTATGCAATTAAAGAAAGTGAATATGTACGTACCATGATATGATAAAGAAAAAGATGGCTCCAGCGGATTGAGTATTGTTAGCAGTGTTTCTGTTGCAGCAAGCGCAGCGAGTAATAGAGCTAGTAATAATAAGGACTCCGAGTAAGAGTAATGCTGCAATGTATCCAAGTATGTTAGCTGGACTACTAGGGTAGTCGCAACCAAATCTCGTTACAATTATGTCAGACACCTGATAATAACAATCAATATTCAAAAATAATCAATAGCGTTACAAACTTACAAATTAAAGTTTCAAGTTAACTTCAAGTCACTTTTATTTTGTGCTCCATATATATATATATATATATATATATATATATATATATATATATTTTCATTTTTTAATTAATAAAAATTTAAATATATGTCAATTTGAACACTTTATGTCTCCGGATATTAGAAAACCAAATATGTTGTCTTTAATGAAAACCTCCCTCTTACTTGACCATTATCGATCTATCTTTCACTTTTGATTAGCCAAACTTACTATCTTCTATCTTATATATAAATTTATTCACCTTTAATCAATCAAAATCAATTAGTTAAGTTTGCTAAAAAAACAAATGGGACTATTTATGATTTATTTCCTTTAGAACAATAGTTTAAGAATTTGGCATGGAAATTGATATGATAAGCAAATTACAATATCTAAAGCCATTATATTTAGGGTTGTACACAGTTTGGTCTGAACCGTAACCAAACCGGATCAAATTGTATTTTAGCGGAATAGCGGTTTGGTTTGGTTTGGTTTACGGTTTATAAAAATACGGTTTGATCTAGGAATTTTTGTAAATATGGTTTACGGTTTGGTTTGGTTTTTCAAAAATTATAAACCAAACCAAACCGTAAACCAGTAAATCGTATTTTAATATTTATATAAGTTTTAGATAAATTAAAATAATTATTATATATTAAAAAAATTAATAAGAATAAAAACATTAAAAATCAAAATACAAAAAAATTAATATAAGGTATACTGTCAGTAAGTCATAATTTGCTTTCTTTTTTTTTGGTTTTAATTGTTACATTACCATTAATTGTTCTATAATTAACATCACTAATGCATTGTAATTTTATTAAAATGTCGTCTCATTATAAACCGCAAACCAAACCGCATCAAAGCGTATTATTACGGTTTGGTTTGTTCTGATTAGAATACTAATACGGTTTGGTTTGGTTTGAAAAATTGACCAAACCGTATTTTGTGGTTTGGTTTGGTTTGGTACTCAAACCACACCAAACTGGACCGTGTTCACCCTATTAATATTAGTTAAACTCTTATTAAAAATGGGTAAGATAAAATAATTAAACACAAAATATTACCTTAATCCTAGTGGCCTCAGCAGCAAAACCAAGACCGGCAGCAACGAAACCTAGGATGCCCAGAAGTACGCATACCACAATATTGGCTCCTCCCATGTTGACCTCTCTTAGCTTGGTGTGTTTTCCTGATCACCTTAATTACTTGCTTTATATACTCTTAATAACTTGTTTTATATATTATATTTGATAAAAAAAATAAAAAAAATAGAACGTAGAATAGTCAAAGTCGGTTTGTGAGTTGTCTTCATCTCTATATAATTACCAAATTCATTCCATATCTCTTTCAATTATTTCAATCTCGCTTTGTATACTGAATACAAATTTTTTTAAGTAATCGCTGGAGGACCAAGTGTAATTCGCTTCAAATAGGTTTTATATATAACACGTGTCCTGTATATGGTAGGTGTAATAACTTGGAAATTACAGAAAATCGAAGAATAAATTACAACTTTGACTATTATTCCATTTAGTTAGCATATACTTTGTCTTACGACTATATAATAACACCTTCTATATACTAATTATTTTTTTTTTTGTTCCACCCGCTTCACCCTGTTAGAAGTATATCCTATCAAATAACACATGTAGGTGTCCCATATTGAGAAAAGAAGAGAGTTAAACACTTTATAATACTGAGGGGCTACTCCTCCTATCGCCATATGGTTTTGGAATAGAACCTCATTTGGACTTGTGAAGTGGACTCTCTCTCTTAGTTTGCGGGTGCAGCCCAGACCCGTATTTAACACACCCTTTAAGCTAGTTTGGATTCGATAATCAATTATGGGTGGTTAGGTTCCATTCCCCTCCCAATTGTTGTTGCGGGGGATCGAGCATAAGTTGTTTATATAATTTTTTCAATATACAGCATGCCGGTCGTTATCTTATTCCCTTTCATGTAGCTTACATGCAAGTCACAACCATGTCGAATTGTAAGCTAATATAATTTCAACTAATCATTATTTTTCGCTTATAAAATTCCATTACATAATTATAGATATTAGCAATAGCGAACAATACAACTTAGTGACAACTATTTTAAGTGCAAAATTTAGTTTAAATAATTATCATACGACCAACTGAATCAACGTTTGAAGATTAGTCATACAAACCATTTCAACGATTTTTTACTTTTTCGCTTATTATGATTTGGCCTGACCATGTAATTGGGTTGAAATACCAATATATAATAATTATTAGATAAAACTTGTGCGATGTACGATTTATTTGTATTTTTTAAAAAATAAATATTTTTTTTATGTATGTGAAATTTTTTTGTTATTTTATCGAATATCATTTAATTTTTTTTTTTTAAATAAATTGTGAATTTCCTTTCATTCATCATATATTTAGATTAAACTCTAATATCAAAAGATAAATACAAATCATTTATCATATACTACATATTTCATTATTTTTTAGAATTTTTTTTATTATAATCACTTCTCATATTTCATTATTTTTTTTTTAACTAATCCAATTTTTTTTTCTTTTAAAAACAATTGAATGTGAATTTTTGTATGTATACGAAATAAAATAAATTGTTTCTACTCTCTTAGATAAAATTTTCAAATGTATAAGACAATATTTTATTTTTATAATTAATTTTGATCTAACCACTATAAGAAAAATACATTTTCATAGCGATCATTTTAACATTTCGTATCGATTGTAATTGCTACAAAAAAAAACCAACGAATGGTTATTCGATACAAATATCCGCCGTTGCCATAGCCTTTAGTAGTGTTTTTTTTGCTTTTGCTAGGGTTGTCCTTATTAACCGGTACGGAAAACAACATTCAATCATGGTGATTATTGAACTCATTTTCTAAAAAATAAAAATAAATTAAAAAAAAAATCCCTACATATGATCTATACAAGATTCAAATATGCAATCTCAAGTTGTAATATTAAATGTTTATCCAAGAAGCTATGACATATTTTATGTTCTCTTTGTCAAACAAAAGTTTAAAATCTAGTGTAAAACAGGCTTTTCGTATTGATTTTTGGGTTTTAGTGGCGATTGTAAACGATAGGCTTTTCCATAATTTTATAAATGTGCATAAAAATGGTGAATAAATACTATTATTTTTTTCGTATCGATTTCATATGGGTTTACTATGTCGATTGTAACACTACTAGAAAACAGCCAATCAACGACGGAAAAAATCCGCCGGAAAACCCTGAAATTCCGTCGGAAGGCACCGTCGCAATACATTTTGTAGGAATTTCGCGATATTCCGAGGGAAATTCCGTCGGAAAATTCCATTCCGACAGAATTTCCGACGGATTTTGTTCTGTCGGAGTCAAGTTTGACTTAATTAGGAAGTCCGTCGCAATGTTCCGACGGAACATTTTTAGTCGGTATGAGTTATCTTCCGACGGAATTTTCCGTCGCAACAAGCCAAGCTTCCGTCGGAACGTTGCGAACCTTCCGACGGATTTTTCCGTCGGAAAGTAACGAACCTTCCGATGGATTAATTCCGTCGGAACGTTGCTACGGAATAAAAAGAAAGTCATTTACACTTGGTCAAAAATACTTATATACATAGTTGATAACAATTGGAAAATGTCTATTTAAAACATTGTTAAACCAATATCAAAAATATGGACTTCCTCCGTTCTTTTAATATCGCACTATAGGGGTTGGACACACTTTTTTTTGGTAGTGGGAAAAGGAAGAGAGAGAAAGGTAAAAATACAAAATTATCCATGCGATGTAAACATAAAGTAATAAAATAAAGAATCAAGAGTTTAAAGTAAGGGTATATTGGGTATTTGCAGGGTGAACAGAGATATTTTGTTTCCTCAAAAATGGTGCAATATTTGTGACACTTCCTTACACTACTAGAAATAGGCTATTTTCCAAGGGATTATCTCCGACGGACTATAATTTCGTCGGAAAATTTGAAATTTCCGGCGGAAAATAGAGTTGTAGGAAAAATCCGTCGGAAAAGAAACCTTCCGACGGAAAAATCCGTAGGAGATATTCCGACGGATTTATTTTCCCTCAAAATATTCTAGTTCCGAGGGAATATTCCGTCGGAAAACCATTTCCGACGGAATATTCCATCGGAACCTGTAAATTCCGAGGGAATAATTTCCGTCGGAAGGCTGCAACAATTAAAAAAAATAACGTTAAGTTCTGAAAAAAACTGAACAACAAACGCGAAAGAAGAAGAGGAAGAGAGAGAAAGGGAGACGGAGAAAGAAGAAGAGAGAGAGGGAGAAAGGGAGCGTCGCCGCCACCACCACCCCGCCGCTAGGACGCCGCCGGTAAGTATTTTAGTTTTTTTTTTTTTTTTTTTTTTTTTTTTTTTTTTACATTTTTGCTAAAAACCCTAACCACCACCACCATTTCACCTAGGCTTCACCGGAATTCACCACACCCACCGCCGGTTTTTACCACAACCACAAAGAGTCGAAGCCGCCGCCGTTGATTAGTGATAAGTGGTGTTTGTTTTGTTGGTTTTTTTTTTTAATTCACTGTGTTGGGGTTTTTGGGTGTTTTTTGGGTGTTTTTTTTTTTTTTTTTTTGGGGAGTTTTTACTAACCTCAAATGTGAACCCCGTAGCCTTGAACACCATCCGGCCGCCGGTCTACAACCAGACGACGCCCAGCCGCCGCCGACAGTAGGTAGTATTCCTGTTTATTTATTTATTTTTTTTTTATTTTTTAATATAAGTTGACAGCATTTATTCATTTTAAATTGCAAGCATAAACTTAGTTACTAAGTATTTAATTTAAATTATTTGTAGGATTTGTAGATTTAATCGGTTCTTTGGCAATAACAAGGGCAGATCTACAGGTTAGAGAGTATATAAAATCTTTTATTATTGTATTAAAATTCGTAGTTTATTATTGTTTTTAGTGTAGTGTATACAATTTGTTGTATTTATATTCTAATATGTTTAAATATTTGAGAGGAATGTGTTTGTGTTATGACATGTTAGTTTAGCCTAGTTTATTTAAGTTTAGTTTTTAATTGTTGTATTATAACATGTTAGTTTAGTTTAGTTTAGTTTAATATAATAATGTATGTTAGATTATTTTAATTTAGTTAGTTTAGTTTATTTAAGTTTAGTTTTTAATTATTGTATTATAACATGTTAGTTTTTTTTAGTTTAGTTTAATATAATAATGTATGTTAGTTTATTTTAATTTAGTTTACTTTAGTTTATTCTAGTTTAGTTTAGTTTAGTTTAGTTTAGTTTAATAAAGTGTATGCTAGTGTATTTAGTTTAATATTTTTGTTTGATATAATGTTTAATATAATATTTAATAAGCGTTCTTATTTATTTGCTTAGTTTAGTTTAATTATGATATATCTCTGTTTAGTAAAATGCATGTGTCCTTCACTTTATATATATATATAATAAATGAATCATTTGCATAATCATATGCCTAGATACCCGTTCAAGGCATACACATTAAGAGTATGTCTTGGATAGTCCCCGGTTGGGACTGTCCTTGTACGCTTATTCTCACTTAGGTGGTGAATGTAAGCCTTGTTTTTTATTCTAGGAAAAATCCTGCCTTTTCATGCATTTCTCTACCGTGTTCTCTGGGTACATATGTAGGTGTGTTTAATCGCCTACATCGTGTACTTGGAGAACTGTAGGGAAATGCTGGCGGGTTTTCCATAGAATTGAAAACCTGGGTTACATTCACTAGTGAGAATAAACGTACAAGGATGGGTTAGGTTGGAGTGATAAGGACCCTTTGGAAGCATTTCAAATCTCATTTGCATTTCCATAACGCTGTGGTGGATAATGACTGCGAAATACGGTTTATGACTAATGTGATTGTACATATGCGTGAACTGTGTAGAAGCTGTAATCATGAAACGAAGAGAACGTATGTGGATGTATGAAAGGATGGTTGGGCAAAGTATTAATCCAAAGTTCGTGAAAGGGGTTGATGAATTCATTCAGTACGTCACAGATCATCCCGAGAGTAGTAACCCAAATGAAGTTAGGTGTCCATGTGTTAAATGTAAAAACAAACGCCTTTGGGATGCGGATATGGTTAAAATTCATCTGTATCTCAAGGGTTTCACACCTAACTACTATGAGTGGATGTGTCTCGAGGAAGGGTATCCAGGAGTTCCCGAACGGCGGTCCAATGAATATCATGACATGGTTTTGGATGCTTTTGGTCATAGTCAAGATCAGGGGCACTCCGAGGAGGCTAGTGTTCCATCAGAGGAGAAGCCTAATGCAACTGCTAAGCATTTTTTGGATTTGTTGAAGGCTTCTGAAAGGCCATTATATGAAGGGAGTTCTTTGTCTGTGTTAGAGATGGCTGCTAGAATCACTAGTCT